TAGAATATTACATAAACTTAGTTGATAATGCAGCTACAGAGTTTGAAGGATTGACTCTAATTTTCAAAGAAGTTCTACTAGAGGTAAAAAGCTATCAAACAGCATCACATGTTACACAGAAGTGTTTTGTGAAAGGAAGAGTCAATCACTACAACAAATTTTACTGTCATCTTGTTTTAAGAAATTACCACAGCCACCCCAACCTTCAGCAATCACCACCCAGATCAGTCAGCAGCCATCAACATCGAGGCAAGACTCTCCACCAGCAAAGAGATTATGACTCGATCAAGGCTCAGATTATTGTTAGCATTTTTAGCAATAAAGTATTTTAAATCAAATTACATGTTATTTTTTTCCAGGCATAATGCTGTTATACACTTAATAGACTACAGTATAGCGTAAACATCATTTTACATGTACTAGGAAACAAATAATTTTGTGTGACTTGCTTTACTGCGATACTCACTTTACGGCAGTGGTCTGGAACTGAACATGCAATGTCTCCAAGGTATGCCTGTATGTATTTCAGCAAAAAAGAGTCTCAGCTATTTTCTTAACAATTTAATTTCATAATTTTTGTAAAATAATTGTTATTCCCAAAGAAACCTTTTCCCTTATTCATAGAAGTACTTTTTTGTAATTTCTTTGGGATTTAAGATATATCCAAAAAATAATCCTTAAGCTTTTCTCTCAAATGTCAGAATTGAAAGGCATTTCAGTTTCAGTTGAGATATGTAAAGAGCTTGGAAGTCATCACTCCCATCCTTACAATAAAAACCTGGACAAACTGCAAATCAATGACTTTTCTTGGATTTATTAAAAAACTGACAATGCAGGGCAAACCACTAACCCCAAATCTAGAAAGACAGGTCAATCTACAAAGACACAGACCTTGGAGCAGAAGTCACTGGATGCCATGTGTGGTAGGAACATTTGCTTATCTACAAATTTTGACAAATTACTATGAGCTGAGTGCGGAGAGTGAGAAACTCCCGGGGCCACAATCATAAAGAGGCCTCCACTCTGCACTGCACTTTCCTTCCAGTGACCCCTTCAAGTTCTCACAGTGATGATGCATGGCCCTGACAGGAAAAGGGGGAAAAGCCATTGTTAAATCTCTCAGATCCTTCTCCCTAACCAAAGAGGAAAGACTCTGCCAGAGCGAAACAATGAGAATTTATCCCAGCTGGAGTAAGAGAGTATTATCCCACTGTAGACTTACTGTCTCACCTACTGTAAAACAAAAACAAAACGAAAACAGAGTGAACAGGAGACAGGACTTCAAGAAAACAGATTGGGAACGCTGCATTTAAGAAAGGAATGAAGGATGGGGGTGGGAGGCAGTGATGCTCCTGGACAAGGGACAGGGACACTTGGGAAGGGTATAGCCCTGAGACATAGGTCCACTGAAAGACTGGGATTTAATCAGGTTCCAGAACACTCCCTTTCTCCAACATCTTAACACAACACAATCACAGGTCCAGTCTGACAACAGTGGATAGAGCACAGCTAAAAGAGCTGCAAGGCACAGACTTTCTCTGAGGAGGAATACTTAGTCAAGGAGGAATACAAAGTCAAGAGGGGAGACAAAAATAAGAATGTTAGAGAAATTTGAAGACTGCTGTATTTATAAGTACAAGAAACATTAAGCATAGCTAAACTCCTAACTCAGATTAACATAAATAATCCTCATACTAAAGCCCTGTTTACCCTGAGATACTATATCTGGCTCTTAACAAAAAATTATGAAGCATGCCAAAAGGCAACAAGGAAAAAAAAACACAGTCTGGAGAGATACAGTAAGCATCTGAATGAGATTCAGATGTGACACAGATGTTAGAATTATCAAACAAGGAATATATATTACTGTTATTATTTTAAGGGCCCTTAATGGAAGAAGTTGAAAACGCAGAATACAAGCAGGAGATGGAAGCTCTAAGAAAGATTCAATAGGAAATGCTAGAAATCAAAAACACTATAAGACAAACAAAGATTGCCTTCGGTGGGCTCATCAGCAGACATGATGCTGCTGCGGAAAGAATCAGTGACTTAGAAGATGGGTAAATAGAAACTTCCCCGCCTGAAATGCAAAGGGAAAGAGAGCTGGAAAAAAAAAAAACACACACACACACACAACATCACAGAACAGTGGGACAATATCAAAAGGGGGTAGCATAAGCATAATGGAATACCAAAAAGAGAAGAAAGAGAGGATGGAACAGAAGAAATATTTGAAATAATAATAGCAGAGAATTTCCAAAATTAATGATAGACACTGACCCACATACACAGGGAGTTCAGAAAATACAAAGCAAGAGAAATACACATGCCAAATAAACCTCCTAAAACAAACTACCCCAGGTATATCATATGCAAACTGCAGAAAACTAAAAGGAGAAAATCTTGAAGATAGCCATAAGGAGAAACAAAACACCTTACCTATAGAGGGTCAAAGATAAGAACTATATCAGATTTCTTGTCAGAAACCATGCATGTAAAAAGAGTGTGAAGTGAAATCTTCAGGGTTGAAAGAGAAAAAAGAAAGCTAACTGATAATTCTACATCCAATGCAATTATCCTTTAAATATGAAGAAGAAACAAAGACTTTCTCAGACACACAAAAACTGAGAGAATGCATTACTTGTAGGACTGCCTTGCAAGAGTTGTTAAAAGAAGTACTTCAGAGATAAGGGAAACAATATAGGTAAGAAACTTGGAGCTACATAAAGAAAGAAAAGACCATCAGAGAAGGTACAAATGAAAGTAAAAAATATAATCTTTTATTTTTTATTGATCTAAAATATAACTGTTTAAAGCAATAATCATAACAATGTGTTGGGTGATTATAGCATATTATAAGTGAAATGAATGACAGTAATGTCACAAGAGATGGGAGGGAGGAATTAGGAATACTCTAACATGAAGTAGCTGTACTACACTTGAAGCCTTATGGTATAGTGGTATTTGAAGGTGACTTAGATTATTTTAAAATGTGTATTTTAAACTCTAGGGGGACCAGTAAATACCTTTCTTTAAAAAACAAGTATAAGCAGTACAACAAAAGAGGATATAAAATGGAATCATATAAAATGTCCAATCAAAATTAGAGAAGGCAGAAAAAGGCAGGGAGGGCAAAGAACAAATCCAAGGAAATGGCACCAGTTACAAAGATTGTAGAATTTAATCCAACTATATAAGTAATCACTTTAAATGTGAATGGCCTGAACATACCCATTGAAAGACAAAGATTGTTAGACTGAATTTAAAAACACACTGTAAGACCCAATTATATGCTGTCTACAAAAAACTACTTTAAATACAAAGATTCAGGTTAAAAATACACAGATGGAGAGATACCCCATGCTAATCCTAACAAAGAGCAAGCCAGGGTGGCTATATTAGTAGACTTCAGGAAAAGAATGATTATCAGAAATAAAGAAGAGTATTATATCATGATAAAGGAGCCAATTCTATTAGAAGACATAACAATCCTAATATAAATGTATGTACCTAACAGGTTCAAAATATATGAGGAAAATACTAATAGAATAAAAAAGAAAAATAAATCCACTAAATCTCCAATATATTTGGAGATTGGAATTAAAAGTATGTTCTAAATCATAGGAGACTAAGATTAGAGGATCCATACCCCACCTGATTCTCTAATAAGCAGAAAATTAATTTTAAAACATTTTGAGTTAATAAACATAAACTCATAGAATACATTTTATAACTCTAAAAATCCAGTATACTCTAATGCATATGTAATAACTCATTTAGAAGTCTATCTGCTCTATTAGACTTTTTAGCTCATGGAAAACAAACATTTTATTTTGCTCAGTTTGGTTTCCTTAACATCCACAGAGATTTTTGACTTGAATAAACACCCAATAAATATCTACTGAATGTCTAAGTTTGACTTTCACCATTAAATTATGTTAATCAACATTTAACTGTATAAGGGAGCTAATGTTTCATTAAAAATACAAAGTAATATTTGTATTTGTCTTTATAATAGAAGATTTTGGTTTTATAGTCATCCTCCACTATTATCAAATGACCACTTCATTTAATAACACAGTGGCAACAGTTATGGTGAATGTATGAGTTGTTCACAGGGTTAAAAATGCCACACTGCTTTACCATTAATTAACTCTGTTAATTTATTAATCTGAAATAATCCACAAATTAGTAATACAAAGTAAGAGATATAGATAAAATACAGAAATTAAGAGAACTAGATTTGCAAAAAGATTAAAATTAAACGTATATACATTAGAAAAGCGTAACTCTTAAGGAACACATGAATTTTAAAATACCACAATTTTATCAATTTAAATTGTATATTAGGGCATAAATAATTTATAGCTCCAAAATAAGCAAACAAAATGCAAATATAGAAGGAATACATTATTAGACAAATCATAGGGTCTAAAAAAAAGAAAGTTGTGGAACATGAGATTTTTTTCTATTTTTCACATGCATAACTAGAATAACAACTGAAGAGAAAATATATTATTAACTCTGTCAAATCTTTAAATTACATAGTTTAACAATCATACTAAATTCATTTCTATCTGGGTGAGTTAAAGAAAAACATAGAAATTTCATTACTTTCATAAAACCCAGAAGACTATAAAACATTATTTTGCACTGAGACCTGTTTATTATAAATTGCCACGCTTCTTCAGATAACAGATGATTTTTATTTCACTATTCAGGGCATGGTCCATATAAACCCAACAGGCATAAATCTGATGTCCTAAAATAGGGCATACGGGAACAATTATTTACTAGATAAAAAGTACTGATATTCTTTTCCATCAAATACTTCTTTCAAATCTTTTAAATATCACTATATTATTATTAAAATTCAATTTCACTCAACTTTTCAAGCAAAATGATTATAGAAAGTAAAGAACATCTTCATAGGCTCATAAACACTTGATATCCATTCTGTGAGTCAGACAGGGAAATGGAAACTATCATAGACGACTTACCTGACATGCATTATAAAGAAGCTGGTGTTCTAGTTTTTTAATACCCAGAATCTGCTGAAACATTTCATAGAGTTGTTCCTTGCTCAGAATAAGTTCGGACACAGCACTTAGGGCCATTCTATTTGGCTGTTTGCACAAGTCCTCTTCACCCCTGTAAATGGCATCATATTTGGCTATCCATGAGCTCAATACTGTCTCTTTGCTCAAGCCATCAATTTCTGGCAAACTCCTCACACGTTTTTCTATGTTTTTTTTAAACACTTCTCTGAAGTCATTAGCAGAACACCCTCCACTCTGAACCATTCTGGCCACTCGGTCACTCTTTAGAAAAACCTGAAAAACAAAACAAAACAAAATCCATTTACAATTAGGCATGGGCACAAACACCACTTGCTTTCAGCAATCCAGCCAGAGTCACTGACGCCAAATATTCTACAATGATTCAAATGCTTTATAATATATGGTAACCAATGACATGGTGGAGGCCCCAGATCTCTCTCTAAAACAGGGGTCCCCAACCTATGGTGAGTTGTATAATTATTTCATTATATATTACAATGTAATAACAATAGGCTAGAGTCCTCATGAATGGGATTACTGTCCTTGTAAGGGGACCCCAGAGAGCTCCTGCATCCTCTCAACCATGTGAGGATAGGGAAAAAGACAGCTGACTGGAAATCAGGAAATGGGCCCTCACCAAACACCGAATCTGCAACAGGCTCCATATCTGTGAGGAATAAATTTCTGTTGTTTACAAGCCAAAAAAAAAAAAAAAGCTACGAAGGTAATTAGTCATATGAACACAACATCCCTATCTGTATTTGTGAGTTCTGGCTAGTCTTCAGCTGGGGGAGGGGCCCCCATCATGTAAGTGAGGATTTAAAGGGCAATAGTATGGTAAGTCTAGATTACAAGTCAATATCCATCATATGTAATTTCTAATCAAGATTGCTCAACACCTGGGGGCTTAGAGTACAACTATCCTCACCCCCACAACTTCTCACACCCTTGTCACAGCTAGGAAGAATGGAGGCTAGAAAAGCAAGACCACTAAGGTACTTCTAATTGTCCACCACTACCAGGTAAGAAATTAAATAAAAACAATGATAATCACAGAGTGAGGTACTCATGAAACATGTAAGAGGAGATGACTAATGATCAGTAATAAGTCATATTTTAGAAGAGACACCAGAGTTGGCCTTAAATGTCTTTCTGTTTTCTAAGTCATGGATCTAAATATCAGTCAAGAATCATTAGACATCTATTATGTCATCCACATTCTTAAGAATCCATTATGGGTCATATGAGACTGCTTTTATTCCCGCTTTCTTCTTCCTATAATGACAAAACATTCTCCCAGAAGAACCTGCAGGATAATGTAGCTTCCATAATTATATGCTGTTATTAAGCTTACAGAAAAAAAAATCATGTCAACTTTTAACCTAAGAACTGACTCATTATATTGAGGTACTCCCAAGTTATAACCACACTACTTGCACCATATGACCATGCCTGTCTGCATGTGGGCAAGCAGCACACCTGTCACATATAGTCAAAGTGGACCCACCTAAACCACTCACTGTCATGCCCAGCTATCTGACCCTAAACCTTTCCCTCACCACTTTACTTCTCCTTCTTAAGGTCATTCACCCAACTGTTTTCCTTGTTTCCTATCTTTGCTCAATAGCAAGAAGATTCCTGGCACTCAAATATTTTGGTTGACTGACTTAAACAAATAAGATGCTCCTCAAACTAGGATGGGGTTACATCCCAACAAACCCATAGTAAGTTGAAAATATCATAAATCAAAAATGCATTTCATATAACTAATTTACCCAGTATCATAGCTTAACTTACCTTGAACATCCTGCTCAGAATGGTCACATTAACCTTTAGTTGGGCAAAATCATTGAACACAAAGCCTATTTTATATCAAAGTATTGAATATCTCACATAATGTATTGAATACTGACTATACTGAAAGCAAAAAACAGAATGGTTGCAAGGGTACTTGACGTGTGGTTTCTACTGAATGCATATCACTTTCGCGCCAAATCAAAGTGACTGTAATCAACAATAAATTAGGGTATCCTTTAAAATAACTAAAAGATTGGAATTGGAATGTTTCTAACACAAGAAATGATAAATGCTCGAGGTACTAGATACTCCAATTACTCTTATTTGATTAATTCACATTATATGCCTGTATAAAAAGATTACATGTACGCTATAAAGATATACAACTATTATAAACCCATAATAATTAAAACTAAAAATCATTAAAAATAATTAAAGTTGAACTGTTGTAAGTCAGGGACCCTCTGTGTATACAACACACTCACACAATTCCTCCTCTCTCCTTACCAGCTCTGGATCAATTACTTACTTAAAACAAATTAATTATTAAAAGACCGGTGTTTAAGTATAGCACTTTTAATATTTACAGATCAAAGACAATGAAACTGAGATAGTTAACCAAAGAGTGATGTTAACTACTTCAGAACTCATAGATATGTCTCCATCTCCCTCCTCATTCACATCTAATACTACCACTCTCACTGTGCAGTGGCATTCAAGAAATTAATTATATATTTATAAATTATATAAAAATTATTTACCTATAATTATACATAAATAATCATATTCACAAATACTGACATATTTATATATACTCATATATTAAATTTTGCAAATAAATTTTATATATTTATGTTCTAATTTGTACAATAGCTTTAATTTTTAAGTTGGAACATATGGAAGCACAGTAGTTAAAGGAGTGGACTGTGCCAGTTGTCAATGTGCTGCTTTTCACCTACAAATCCACCTTTCCATCATCCTGCCTGTGTCAGCTAGCACAATTTTAAACAAGCCAGTAGAGGGTGCTGGAGGAGACATATTGGAGGAAGAAGGGCTCTCTTCTTGGTTCTCTTCTCACCTGAAGCTACAAGGCACCAACCCATGGGCAGCCTTTCTCCAGTCCTCCCAAGGTGGCTTCCAAGTACACCATCCCCACTGGCAGATTCCCAGTGAGTTCTGCAGTATGGCACCTCCCTGAGGACGATTTCTCCCCAGGACCCTGGAAGGTAGATTCCTTGTAAGTTCTATCAGTGCAGCACTCCTCTGAACTCCTCTGCCATCCCTGCCATGCAGTAAGACGTAACTTTTCAATGAGTGCTGGATCCCTGCCCTGGGAGAGGGTAGTGGGATCCTCTTCCAGATTTCTTCCTTCCTTGGGTGCTCTGCTCCCTATTTTGGCTACTCCTATATTCTTTAGAGTTTTCTTTAGCCAAAGCCAGCAATCCTTTATTGTTTAAGCTTGTCCTGTTCAATTATCGTGTGGTCTCTTCTCCACAGTACACCTTAACTGATATAAAAATACTAAAGTGCTACAACATTGTTTCTATGTGAAAATATTTGAAGTTGAACCAACCAACCTTAGCAATTTGGTAAGATGTCTGAAGTTATACCAGGAGGATATTTTTAAAGTGCAATATAAATATCTTAAGACTAACTTCAGAAAAACTTTTAATTGCTTCATTTCTAATACTCTAAGTTAGCAGGCATTTTATTTTTCCAACTTCTTCTGCCTAACAGAGTCAGAGCTAGATTTCACCAAGTAAACAAACCACATTTCTAAAGCAAGGACACAAATGAAGGTTTATTTTTGGATTCTTAATTTCCCCTACAAAACCATACCGAAAGCCCTACTAACTCAGTCCAATTACATGTAATCTAATGGACATGTGCTAAGTGGTAACAACATTCCAGGGATTCTGCTACCTGTTTGGGGCACAAAGAGGAGTGAGTCAAAGACCCTGGGCTCACGCAGCTCACACTACCTGAGACAGACGGGATGAATAGGAAATAGGGTAACAGCAACAGCAGAAACCTGCACAGAGGGAGGGAAAGCAAAAGGAAAGAGGGTATTAATTTTCTAGGGGCCAGAGTTAGAGAGGACAGAGGTGAGGGACCCATGTTTTGAACAATCTGTGTGAGAGGAAAAGGGAAAATAAAAGACATTTCAGGAAAGTAAAAGATTGGGGGCGGGGAACACAGAAAAATAAAACGGTATAAGGCCTTTTGAGGGAAATGTAAGAACTTCCATACTGCAGGAACATTACCTAAAATGTGGAGGGCAGCAAAAGCTGAGCCAGAGAAACCAACAGAGACCAGGTGGCAAAATGCCACGTGTGCTGAGGGAAGACTCAGGGCCCCCTCTGATGACACGGAGTCAATGATGGCTGGGTGGCACAGGCACTAACATGGGGAGATGCACATTTTGGGCAAATAACTGGTTGCAACATTGAGGGTAGACAACAATCAACCAGAGCAGAGACTGGGACCAGTTACCAGATAAGGACAACAGACCAGGTAGAAAACAACAAGGTCTGAACTAGGACTAGGCTACAGAGAAAGACAGAGTGGGAGACAGAATGAGCACATCTCAGTGACTTACAGAATGTGGAAACTAAGGCAGGGAAAACTTGATAATTCACAGATTTTTACTGGGGTATCTGGATTCTACTAACCAAAAATAAAGAATACAGGTGGAAGAATTTGTGTGTGTTTGGTGTTGCTATATGGTAGTGAGTGTGTGTGTGTGTGGGGGGCAGTTATAGATAATCAGTTCAGTTTTGGTAGAGGTCAGCTTTGGAGACAAAATATGGCAAAAACAGAAAGAGTCAAGAACAAAACACTGTGAAATACATATATTTAAACATTTGGCAAAGAACTGGATCCGGGCGTGGTTGGTAGTGTCAGAGAAGTAGAAGGAAAAATTATGGACACACAGGCATAGTAGCAATCAAGGTGAAGATAATCTCAAATGGGAGGAGGAGAAGAGAGAGAATGAATACCAAGTGTCACAAGAAAAATTAGGTCAGATGAGAAAAAATTTGATTGGTCTTTATCATCACTAGTTACCTTTGGCAGAGAAGATTTACTGGCTTAGAGAAGAGCAGTAGCCAGTTGCAGGAGGAAGGAGAGAGGATGATGTATGATAAAGTTAAGGCAGCAAACATGAACTGCTCTTTTTAGGAAGGCTGAATGAAAAAGGAAATGAGAGAGGCGGCAAAGGCTAGACTAGGAAGTCACATTCGAGCAATGGAGGAGATAGGTCAGTAAAGAGAAGCACTTTAAGCTACAGAACACATAGAAAGGTAAGTGATGGCATGTCCATGCTGAGATTAGGTTACAGAAGACTGTGGTACTCTCTCTTGCTCTCTTTTATCACTTGCCCTGCAGGAAGCTAGCTGCCATGAGGCAAGGAACTGAGGCTCTCACTGAACCAAGGTCTGCCAACCACCATGTCAGCAAGTTTGAAAGCAAATTCT